CTATTAGATCAGGGCTGTATCTGTACCTCAACTCCAATTCGGTTGTGACATTTCTTCCGCTTCTCCATCCCGGAGTCTCTCCAACTCGCTCGCTCGCTCTCTCTCTCTCCCTCCCTCCACTCTCCGAGGACGTCAAAGGGGCCGTATAATTCTTTGGAGAACTTTGCAAGGGTTAAGATGGTGGGTTGGGCCACTCATTCCGCCGAATGTTTCTGGCAAGGTCTTGGGGTTTGGATCCCGTTGAAATTCTTGCCTTATCAACCGCTCTATTTATCTCGGCAGAGGCTGGTACTGACAGCCTTCGCTCCACCACCCCACCCACCCCCTTCCCCCCACCCCAATGGCTGGAACTCGCTCCCAAATTCCCTTCTCCACACTCCTCTCCCTCTTCAATCTGCCTAAAATTCCACCTGATCTTCAACCGGTCAAATCCCAGAGATAGATTGTTGGAATGGAATGCGCTCTCTCTCTCTCTCTCTTTCTCTTTCTCTCTCCTCTCTCTGGAGGGACACATTCTGCGTTACCTAATTCCGGGAAATATTAGGCGCAGGTTAGGTTGGCGAGAGCCAAGGCTTGGGGTGGGTGGTGGGGGGGGGGAAGCCCAGAGTGTGCGTTGGGGTAACTGTTGGAGTCTATCTGAGCATTAACAAGACCCCTTGCTCCCAACTCCCACACACCCGCCCAGCAACCCCATGCGTTGGAGGCAGTAAATGCGAGAGGGGGTGGGTGTGGGGTGGGAGGGGGGGTTGGGGGGGGCAAGAGCATTTGCAACAGAGGGCAGCAACGAAATGGTTAAACTTCAGCGCTACGCTCACTAATGCGAAGCAGATGTTTACTTAGAGCTCGTTCGTTCGCTGAAAGAAATGGAATTTACAATTCAGTTTGGTTCCCAGAAGTTTTTTTTTAAAAAAAAAACATTCCGAAACCATTTTCAGGTTCGAAGTAAGAGAGGAGAAAGGCGAAATGTCTTTCGGTCCGAACTGGAACCTTCGCGTGGTTAGTTAATTAGTTAGTCAGTCAGATAGTCAGTCAGTCTTAGTCTCTCACCTCTGAGCCACAAGGCGTTGTGTGAGTCTTGCCTATCTGGTCATTCCTCAGAGGTCTCTTAACAACTAACAACAACAAATGGCATTTACCCAGACCCTGCCTTTCGCGTCGGGAGGACGTCCCAAGGCGCTGGACAGTCGGGGGTTAGCACCCGAGCTGAGGGTTGGGATCAGGAGGGGTTGGAGGGCAGGGATAGGAGGCTGACCCAGAGCGCTGTCAAACAAAAGGGTCTTGAGATGTGTCTTGAAGGAGGCGAGGGAGGGAGCGAGGCGAAGGGCCTGTGGGATGGAGTTGTAGAGGGTGGTGGGGGGGCAGAGAAGCTGTGTTCCTATGACTGTCCTAAACTTGCCCTCGGCAACACTGATACCTGTGCCATCTTGTCCTGCTGCTTGCATCTACGGGTATTGTCCTGGCTTCACGTTATCAAACTTAGCATCTCAGCAAAGCCTCTGAGTCACCTCGTGCGGAGGCTGAGCAGCCCTAGCTTGCCTCGGTATCTTTCGCAGCTCGATCCCTCTAACCCCGAGGAGGAACCTCGCTGCTCCCACTGCACTGCGGGAGACTTTACCGCGGTGTCAACTCATAGAATCGTGGAATCTGGCGGCACAGATGGAGGCCGTTCGGCCCACGTGCCTGGGTCGGCTCTTTGAAAGAGCCACCAACTAATCTCGCTCCCCCGCTCTTACCCCAATAGCCCTGCAGATCTTTCATTTTCAAGTACCTATCTAATTCCCCATTGGAAGCTATCGGCAAATCTGCTTTTCAGGCAGCGCGTTCCAGACCGTAACAAATCTCTGGGTTAAAAAAGAAAATTGCCTCGTCTCCCCCCTGGTTCTTTTGCCAATTAACTTAAATCTGGGTCCTCTGGTTACTGACCCACCCGCTCGCCAGTGACACTGTAAGCTATTTTTTTAACGTATAACCAGAGCCTCTGTTGTTTCTATTTGAAAATAAATCTCGTGACTCATCCACAGATAAAAAGCTCGCGGAGGAGTGAGTGGGGCGGGGGTGTGGGGGCGGAGGAGAGTAAAAGACTGTCATGCTCTGTTGCCTGGACAATGACTAACATAATAACGGGTCAATAGCCCAGGACGGCCTGAATGGAAAAAAAATCTCTCGAGTTGCTGAGCGCTTTTTGTGTGTTTATACACAGCAATTAGACCAGTGTGCTTTCCCAGCAACCGTTTGTGTTGTTAGTCCAGACGGGGGGTGGTGGGGGGTATCTGGCCGGGGGGGGGGGGGGGCGGGAAGCATTTCATGAACCCGGGGTTGGAGAAAGACAGCTTTCCAGCTGAGCTTCTCTGTATAAGGAACAGGGAGGAGAGCTGCCTTTGAACAATTCCTGCGTTCTTTATTTAAAGAGCTGCCGTCACCTTTTCCATCAGCTTCTGGGCATGCTCGGTCCTCGAGACAGCCTGCCTCTCCTTCCCTCTGTCTCTCTGCGTCTCTCTCTTTCTCTCTCTCTCTCTCTCTATCTCGGAGTCCTGTAACTCAGTGGTTAGTTAGACCTCTCGCCTCGCAAGCGAGAGGACCTGGGTTCGATTCACGGGCGGGTCAGGGAGAAACGTTAGGCGAGTTTCCTTACTCCACAAACACACACACACACACACACACACGCCTCTGTTTACTTAGCAGTAAGTCGGAACCTGGCTATTAGTCAATTGGCGGATCGCTTTTCTGGGGGTGATAATCCCTTTAAAAAAATGAAATAAACAATAATGATAATGTGATCACTCAATCCACGAGTGTTTGTGGGGACGCTGTTGTGTGCAATTGGCTGCTGTGTTTCGCCCCCAAAATAGTCAATTCACTTTACAGTATATTCTGTGAAGCGCTTTGAGACGTCTCGAAGATAAGCTGATAAGGCGCTGTATCGAATGGGAGGATTATTGCGATGATGATTATTGCATTGAACCTCTCATGCCAGGATTTGAGCTTGCAATCCAGGCTGGACAGTTATACCAAGGCAGTGCTGTGTCATCATTCGAGGTGCCTTCCTCCTGGATGATACGTTAAACCTTGTCTTGGCTGTTGGCGCTGGAGAAAGGGAAGAGCGGGGAGTCTACCTGTGTTTGCTTCCCTCGTCCAACAACGGGGTGGGCGGGAAGCGGAGGGAAGGGTAAGCGCAGGTAAATTCCTGTCGGGGTGGACATTAAAGAACCCACTGTGCTATTCGACAAGAAAAGGGTTGTGTTTTCCCCGTGTTCTGACTGACGATCCCAAAATTTGGTCATTCCGCGTGGGACGTCGCTCCCCACGAAGGGGCTGCCGGGGTTCACCTATACTGAGAAATACGCGGTCGTTACACTTCACTCTGTGGGGGGAAAAAAAAACTCTGGGATGTGATTTGAGCGGTTTTGACGTGATACGACAAGAATTATTACTATTCCATTATTACCAGCAGTGGCTGCAGTACTGAATTACAGTCACGAGGTGATGCTGCTGCACTAGGCAAGTCCACTACTCGGTGACCCTCGGTCCTGTTTGATCTCCCTTTAAACACAGGTGGCAATACAGTTTGCACGCACAGCTAAATATTAATAATAATAATCCTCGATTTGATCCAGCGCCTTATCCCGTCTGGAGGACGTCTCAAAGCGCTTCGCAGGATAGACTGTCAAGTGAATTGACTGTGTATTTTGTGGGTGAAAGGCGGCAGCCAATTGCGCACAGCGGCGTCCCCACAAACAGTCGTGGATTGAGTGACCATGTTATTATTTTTATGTATTTAGTTATATGAAGGGATTATCACACACACACACCCCCCCCGGAAAAGCGATCTGCGAGTCGACTAACATCCGGGTTCCTACTTACTGCTCGTCAAACAGAGGCGTGTGGAATAAGGAAACTTGTCTAACATTTCACCCCGCCCGGGAATCGAACCCAGATCCTCTCGCTTGCGAGGCGAGTGCTGCGATCACTGAGCTACAGGGTTCCACAACGCCTTGAGTTCTGCGGACGAGACGGTTAAGTGTTATCGCTCCTGGAGGAAGAGTGGCCTCCTCCTATTCTTTATGTGGGTGAAGGTTTAGAAGCCTATTTTAATAACTGTTGCTCAAGTGATGAAACATGGCTGTGAATTTCTCAGCTTGTGGATCCATTTCAGTCGAGGGCCAAGTCAGACCACCGAGGGACATTGAAGAGTCCAGAAATATCAACATCGCATCTTTGCCTGCTGACGTCTTCAAACAGTTTGATCCCACTGACCGAGATAGGGAAAGGGGAGAGGGTGTTGGGGGGGGGGGAGCGTAACAAAAGAAAGAAGTATAAATGAATCACCATGACAGGATATTTTCATTTCTGATATCCACAAACTCTGGCCTCTTACGCTTAACCCTTCCTCCTTTCAACTCGCCATGCGACGTTTGAGATCTCAGCTACAACCTCTTCGACCACGAGTTAAGACCCCACCATCCAACTCCTCGCCTCCAACCCCCACCTATCTTCCACTTTCCTCGACGCCCTGCACAGTTCCCGAGACGTTATCCAAGGCGAAGACGCTGTGTAAAATGCAAGTTGTTGTTGTTGGTTTGACAAAATAATGACAATAATAATCCCTGGCATTTGATACAGCGCCTCATCCCGTCTTCGAGACGTCTCAAAGCGCTGCACAGGACACACTGTAAAGTGAATTGACTGTATATTTTGTGGGCGAACGCGGCAGCCGATTGCGCGCAGCAGCGTCCCCCACAAACAGTCGTGGATTGAGTGACCACATTTTATTTATTAAAGGAAAATTATGTGGTCAATGAACGATCTTCTCACTTCCCCTCCCGATGGATTCATGAGGGCATCACCATTCTGGTCTGCGATCCATCAATTGCACTTACCATCTCGTTCATTTCAGACACCATTACAGGGAATTTTTTGTGACGGTATTTTCAGGTTAAGTGTGATTTTTTTTTTGGGGGGGTCCATTAATAATCAACACCTTTGCATTTCATATCTTTCAGGATGAAACACCATTGGCTACCAAATTAAGTCTTGGGAAATCCATCAAGGAAAGCCTGAAAGTGCCAGAGGAAGATGGGGGGGAGACAGGGGTAGTCATCCACGAGAACCAAGCTGAGCACGAGAACATCTCCCTCTCGTCTGACGAAGACGTAGAGCTGGAGATCATCGAAGAGGAGACTACGGCAGTGCGCCTGAGGAAAACCAGCACAAAGCGAATGGATGACTTCAAGAAAGCGTTCACCAAGGAATCCATGGAAAAGACCAGGCTAAAGACCAAGAAAAACCTGGAGAGGACCAGGGAGAACCTGGAGAAGACGAAACACACCATTGAGAAAAAGATGAACAAGCTGGGCAACAAGATCGTGACGCAGGAGAGGAAAGAGAAGATGAAAGATTCGAGATCCAAGCTGAAGAAATCCTTCACCCCGGACCATGCCAGATCGGCGAGGTGTAAGAAGTCGGTGTACAAAGTGGCGCCGTTCACGTTTATCGTCAACAAGGTCAGAGAGGGTGACGTGGTGATGGAAGAGGTGGAATGGTGGAAGGTATCAGAGACGAAGAGTTGGCGGAACACGAGCAAGACTCCACCGAGCTCCTCATCGAAGAGTTGCCCGATCTCCCCGAGCTGGATCAAGAAGCCCAAGAGTCTGAGCTTCTCTTGCTTGAGAAAAGGGGACGCGATTAATGACTTTTGCGGTATTTTAGTGGAAGTAATATCTGGTAAACTCTTGCTAGTTGGCCACAGCAACTAAACAGAATTGGAGGAAGGAAACCAAACGTGGAATAGTTTATTCATGCACAGATTGGAACATAATTACCAAACACTGGTCCAAAACATTGTAATCCCTCTTGAGTTAGTTATTCTAAGGATCCGGTTGTGACTAAAGTTTGCTTTGATGGGAAAAAGTCAGCTTCGTGTTCGCACAAAGAGACAGAGAAAGTTTCTAAGTCATTTTAATTTGAGTTTCATTCTGACCAGGGACCTTAATTACTGAGAGAATAGAGTGGAGCAGAGTGTGGGAACTATCTCTTAAGACTTAGTTCTGAAACCATCTAAGATAGATCATAGGAAGGTACCTGCACCATGAGTTTTGTAGGACATAAATCCAATAGGATTTGTGCCAATACACACACACCCCAGTTGCTCCCTCTGTTACGCATTGTTTGTTCACAATGTTTATTCAACATTGCAATCTCTCTATAACGTTGTTATTTCAATGGATTGAATGATGTATCGCCAGTGAAAGATTTTGCTTGGAGAAGGTCAGCCGCACTACGACCATAAAGTAGAAAGGCAATGTGTAAAATAGTCCGGCTCAATAACCTTCCGAATTTTAATTTTAATGCCACTCAATGGTAGCAATTGAAAGTAGGAGCAGGAGTTTGTGTGATTATAAAACAGGGCAAGGAGAAGGCAATGGGAGCCTAATTTTGCGGTATTTCTTAAGGGGGATTCCGAGTAAGGAACCTGAAGTTGTGCAAATGGGAAAATCCTTGCGGCGACCGGAATTTTACCCCGTCTCACCACGGGAATTCCTGATTAAGAAACACCGCAAATTGGAGTCCGCTCGATGACGATTAGGCGTGGGTAAGTGCTGTACAGGATGCGATAGGAAAAGTGGGGGGAACGGGGAATGATTCACTGCTGGGAAGGTTTACAGTTTGGCATCGGATCACGGAAAGGAAGAGTTAGTTGCTCTAGCCAACGTGGCAGGAGGAAAAAAAAAGACCATGTATGGTGCCCTCATGTTAGTCCACATCAATTGAAATCTTTCCCTCGGGCATCAGGTTGCTGATGTCTCACTTAACTGGGCATATTTTAACCTCACAGTTTTGTGTATTTTTGCTTTTTATATATAGTCCAATCCGATAACCAGGCCGAGGTCTAACGGACGCATTGCATGATATGGTTATTAAAAGTGCCTTATTTCTGTACAATATGGCGTCGCAAGCGCTTACGTATGCTCCAACGCAGTTTGCCGCGATAGCTAGTCATTCGACACACCGGGGATAGATAATCGCTCTTAGAACTGCAAAGTTGATCGTTTAGCATTTTCTCTTCAATGTCTAATTTTTTTTTTGAGAGGGGGCGAGAATCTATTCTAACAGGTTTTCTCTTTGCATTGTATGTAATATTCAAGGGAGGGAGGGAGGGAGGGAGGGTTGCAAAATAATAGGAGATGTATAGCCTGCTTGCTTAGGACTTGGAAACATAGCAGCGTCAGCATTTTTCTGTCGCAAGGTCACGCTAACACGCGGAAATGACTCTTTCCAACACTTCAACGTGGGTTATAATGTTATGAATAGTAATAATTATTCATAATGTTATGAATAGTAATAATCCCTTTTTTAAAAAAGTATTTAGTCACTCAATCTACGACTGTTTGTGGGGACGCTGCTGTGCGCAATTGGCTGCCGCGTTTCGGCCGCAAAAACATACAGTCAACTCACTTTACTCACTGTGAAGCGCTCTGAGACGCCTCGAAGACGTGATAAGGCGCTGTATCAAATGCGAGGATTCTTATTCTTATAAATGAGCCTTTGGCGGTGAGAGGTGACTGTGATCCAAGATGGTGATCCGTCTTTCAAATGCAAAACAGAATTTTCTTTGGGGACAAAAAAAAAAACCCTAGACTCCTCAAATTATCCATTTTTGTTTTGTATGTAAACAACAAGAACAACAACGACTTGCATTTATATAGCGCCCCTCAGCCAAGGTAGCGTGACAGAGCGCTAAACATCAACAAGGGAATTATTAAAGTGTAAAGTAAGACTGCAACCTGAAGATCAGCATCCAAATTTCAACACAGTGCCTTTTTAAGAAACATTTAGACGCGTAGAATTGGTATTTAGTTTGGGTTTGTGTGAGTGTGTGTGCGTGCGTGTGTTTGGGAGAAAGTTTTATATATACAGTATATATATATCAATCCAAGTACAGTATATTTTTTTCAATACACTTAACATTTATGAATATACCATATGCAGCAGACTTTTGAAGCCGTGTCTTCTCTATATTTGCAAATGTAGACAAATGCTTAACAATCCGTAATAAACACAGTCTTGTATGTGACTTAAATCACCGTGTATGTATTCTTGTCTGCTAATCATTAACACATCCTCACGAAATGAGATGGACGGTCTTAGCTGGTTGGACCCCAGCAGTTACCCCCAACGCACACTCTGAGTCCCCAAGCCTTGGCTCTGGCCAACCTGCGCCTAATACTTTCCGGAATTGAGTAAGCAGGAGGCGTCCCTCCAGGGAGAGAGAGAGGGGGGATGCACGTTCCATTCTATCAATCTATCTCTGGGATTTGGTTTGGTTTGGACACTCTTAAGCAACTGTGATGGGTTTCCGGAGGTGTCAGACACCCCCCTGACTGACCCCCAAGAAAAATGTGAATTCTACTCTGGGTGTAGATCGATTTAATGGATCCGGAGAGATGCACTTCTGGGAAAAGCATCTTGTCTGCTCGGATAGTCCAGTCCAGTCTATTTACACTCCTTGTGTGAAGTCCTGTAGTGTAGTGGTTAGAGCACTTGCCTCGCAAACGAGAGGACCCGGGAATCGAACCCGGGTCCTCTCGATTCCCGGGCAGATAGGGCGAAACTTTAGTCAAATTTCCTTACTCCGCACGACTCTTTTTACCTGGCAGTAAGCAGGAACCCGGTCGTCAGTTGATGGGTGGATCGCTTTCCAAAAATAAATAAAAATGTAAGAAAACAAAAGTTAAAAATAAGCCCTTCACAAAAAAAAAGTGTTTATCTGTTCAACGTCTCTTGCCTGAGCTTGATTCCCACAGCCTTTTGGGGAAGGGAGGGAGAGAGCTCCAGATTTCCACTACTCTTTGGTGAGAAACTGCTTCCTGATATTGAGTGCTAAGGGTTAGATAAGCCACCACAAGCGCACTGATGAAATCTAGACACACTTGCAGAGGTGAGGTGACATGTGTTTGCCTCAAATGTCGTTACAAAAGGATTGAAATGAGAAACTGGCTGTGAAATTCAGCGATGTCTGGAAGCGATAAGGCAAGGATTGTTATGTTATTATACTGTTCATACTGAAACCAGAATCTAGCCTGGCATGATTGAGAATGGCGCGAGATACGCAGCCACACAGAAAACCCCCATGAATTGCAATGCGGACTGCCGTCATAACAATGCCCGCAACCGTCCGTCAGTCTTGGGCTGCCATTGCTTGCCCGCTGTTGGGTCAATTGCTTCCATTCCATCGCAGACGTGCTGAGTGAGTGAGAAAGAGGATTGCACGTTCCGTAGAGTCACGTAGCGTAGTGGATAGACCACTCGCCTCGCAAGCGAGAGGACCTGGGTTTGATTCCCGGGCAGGCAGGCAGGCAGGGCGAAAGGTCAGGCAAGTTTCCTCACCACACACACACACACACACCTCTATTTACCCGGTGGTAAGTCGGAACTCGGTTGTTAATCGATTGGCGGATCGCTTTTCCGGGGGCAATAATCCCTTCAAGAAAATGAAATAACTAATAACAATAATAATTTGGTCACTTCAATCCACGGCTGTTTGTGGGGGACGCTGCCGTGCGCAATTGGCTGCCGCGTCTCGCCCACAAAATATACAGCCAATCCACTTTACACTATCTTCTGTGAAGCGCTTTGAGACGTCTCGAGGACGTGATAAGGCGCTGTATCAAATGCAACTATTATTAGTATTATTATTATGGAAAATACATTAGAATATGCAGCACAGAAACAGGCCATTCGGCCCAACTGGGTCTATGCCGGTGTTTATTCTCCACATGAGCCTCCTCCTGCTCTTCCTCAACTAAGCTTTCAAGCAGAGCCTTCTATTCCTTTCTCCCTTATGTACCTCTCTAGCTTTCCCTTAAATACATCTTTGCTATGAGAGCGAATGAGCTGAAATGCCTTCCTTACCCAAAGCTGCCTTGCGATTTGGTGAAACGACGTTAGTTAAAATGATTGTTTCCCAGATATTGAAACTGCGCTGTTAATTTCCTGTAGGAATAGACATGTTCAGTCCAGGAATTTGCTTCCAATATCTGGGGCCATTTTTTTGTGGGGTGGGAAAACCCGACACTCGACAGTCTGTCCTATCGTGTGAAGCGGTTTGAGATGTACTGCTGACAGGAAAGGCATTATATCTAAACACAAGGAATTATCATTTAATTTCCTTCCCCATGCGATCGCAACCCCAAATTCCTGTCAATTGCTTACTCGCCTAATTGTTGTTTACAGGATGTTTGCTCACGCGGTTTGCCTTCATAACAGCTTTCACTTAATTTCTAATTCATCTCAATTCGCGAGGGTCGGGGTGTGCTTTATTTCTCATGCGAAAGGCACTCTGTGGAAAGGAATCAATTCATCTTTCTCCTTCAGATGGTGAGCAATCCTGTTAAACATTTCCAGGACACTTCAGTATTGGCACAGAACCAAAAGGCTCTTCCGTCATTCGTGTCTAAATCATCAATAGTTCATTCCGTTTCTCTAAGACCACTGAAGGCCCATTGAAGTCTACCTCTCTGTGCCAGGGCCCTCCTATCTTTAAACTCATTCATACATGATGCTATTAATTATTCTTAAACAGGAACAACTGCTGTATCGATACTATGCACTTAACGGAAACATGACAAATTTTCGAGCAAAGCAAGTTTTGGTAAACCCTTCTGTGTAGTTGATGTAGGGAAGTGCAAGCCATTAACTACGCACATATTCAGGAACTGACCGATCAATAAATGAATGACCAGCATGTGTAACAAGAGCGATTATCTCAAAATAATAATCTTTACATTTGAGCTATGCACCTCAGGAATAAATTGAGCGAATGGGAAGGTTGGGACTTCACAGAAAACTCTTCAATGTAATTCGCTGTATCAAATGCAAGAATTATTTACTCAACACTCAGTGAGTTGGAATCGTAGTCTTACGGCACAAAAGTTGGCCATTTGGCCCATCGTGCCTGTGTCGGTTCTTTGAAAGAGCCACCAACTAGTCCCAATCCCCCTCGCTCTTACTCCATATATTTCCCTTTTAAGTATATATTCCATTCCCTTTGGAAGGTTATTATTGGATCTGCTTCCACCATCCTTTCAGGCGGTGAGTTCCAGATGGTAACAACTTGCTGGTTAAAAACATTTCTCCTCGTCTCTCGACGTCTGCTTCGGCGTCTCTAGACGTCTGCTTCGGTTGTGGAAAACATGAGTGAGGACCTGCTGAAGAAGAGCAATGGGGAAAGATTGGCAAAAAACTCGAATCCATTTTAGACTCAGTTCCCGAGTATAAAAGTTGCAAAGCAGAGAAAGGTCACGTCAGTCATGTGCAGCCACCGCACAGGCCAACAAGATATTTGGGAACCAACTTAACAAATAGTTTCTTCCCAAGATTAATCTTCTTGCAATGACCTGCAATGAACTGTGCTCGTAAATGACACGAGAGCAGAACTCCATGACATTCTTCCGGTTACTGGAGACCCCTGTTTCTGCAGCATGGATCCCTTATCGGGAAATCCTGTTAGGAAATACTGCATATTATTACCCTCCCGTTATTGTGTATGAAACAGGTCCAACCCCGGATCTTCTCATAGTCTATTCCTCTGCTCGCCGCCTCCCCTCATTTATCTCACAATCCCGAGCCCTTTTGAGGCACCAGTTCGCCACTGGGTCCATCGCTTATAAACAGAGCCCATGAAAATGGGGGGAAATCTTTTTGTCGCTCGGCACACAAAAGGTTACCAGCCAAGCTTTCAGTTCCTGCACCTCCGAAACTATGGAACACCCTCCCTCCCCCCTACCCCTCCGCCTCGGCCACTCTCTTTCCGTCTGTAAGTCCTACTTCAAATCCTACACACATATGGATCCTCCCCACCACGCGCCCCCCCCCCCCGCCCCCCCCAACTTGGCGTCCGACTCTGCCCTTGTAAAGTGCTCAGAGGCATTGCCCTAACATGAAGGGCGCTGTACAAACTGAAGTTTTTGTTGTTGACAATACATAGATTAAGAGGAGAGTTGAGTTCAGTTATTATTCAACCCCTGGAGGGTCAGGAGGACGTTTTTACAGTTCTATTTGTGAAGAGTAATTAGGGTTTTCAGTTCAATTAGATTAAGTTCCTGGAAAAACCTAGTCTTTAAATCCGAAAAAAATCCATCTCTAATGATGCCATGTTGGCTGCCGCGGTAAATGCACAGTGTTGTCCATTCTGTCACGTTGCCCGCTGTGCCTCTCGTTCTGTACTGGCTCTGCTTACACTAAAACCTTCCCAGCAAAGCAGGAGACAACGTCTATTAGAGGTTCTCGGCAACTGGACATGGGATTTGGAGGGAGGAAGAGAAAGTCACGCTGTGCAAAGAAATGTCCACTCATCAATAAAAGTAGAAAAAAATCATCAAAAAATACATCAAAAAATAAACAGGCTCTTGTTAACCGATCCTTACTTTTATTTGACTCTTTCAGTCTTCCCATTCAATCTAACATCTCAAAACTCAGGAAATTATAAAATCCCTGACTGTCCAGCGCCTTGGGACGTCCTCCCGACGTGAAAGGCGCTGCGTAAAGGTCATTTGTCGTTGTTATAATACTTGCATTTGAACATAGAATCCTACGCCTCAGAGCGCCTCACATGAGTTACCGTAAAGTGTAGTGACTGCGTATTTCGCAGGTGAACTCGGCAGCAAAGGTGCACACAGCACCGGCCAACAAATAGCCAATGATCCTTTCCATTTGGGGAATTGTCAGCCTGGAAACTTGGGGAGAAACTCTTCTCTTCCCTTTTGAAATAGTGCCACGAGATATCTCAGGCAGGCAGGACCGCAGCTTGACGTCTCACCCAAAAGACGTCTCTTCCAACAACGTCTGCACTGGGGAGTCGGTCTAGACTGTGAGCTCAAAGTCTGATGTGGGGGGGGCTTGAACCCACAACCCCAAGAGGTGAGAGGCGCGACCAACTGAACCACAGCGTGACACTCAATTATTACTATAGCAAAAGGAGGTAATCTTAGGTAACACTTGTCTGAAGTGTTAAAAAAACGTGAATGAAGCTTTGTCTCAATTACGGGAATGAGAGATTGAATCAGAAAATAACTATCAGATGTCATGCACAGGAACAAAGTGGGTCATTCAGACGAATCTACTGAGCATTGAGAGCAAAGTATTGCTAGTAAATCAGATGCAGTTATTTCAGATTAGTTCCATGTATTAGGTAACTTGACAATGATTCGCTCGTAATAATTTGACGGGGTCGTGTCGAGTTTTTCTCTTTTTTCCAAAAAACCAAATCGAAAAAAAATAAGAAGCCGAACTAAATTCACTTTGGGGGCAAAAGGCAACGAAAGTCAATTTGGAAGCAAACGTAAAAAAAAAAAAGCAGCTTTCTTTTTGGTCGGAAAAAAAAATAAGGGCGGCCAGAAGATTGTGGGTTCGAACCCCTCTCCCCCCCACCCTCCACGTTGGGGAGTTGAACTCACATAGTCCAGGTTGAATCTCCAGTGCAATGCATGGGGGGGGGGGGGGCAGGAGGGGGGGGCTACCAGACAATAATAACAACAATTAAAATACTTCCATTGGTGATAGCGCCTTATCGTGTCATCGTGGAGTCCTGTGGTTGAGCATTCGCTTTGCAAGTGAGAGACCTGAGTTCAATTCCAGGCAGAGGGCGAAACCTTGGGCAAGTTTCCTTACTCCACACAGAGTCTAATAATATTCCCTCCAAAACCAAAAACAATAATAAATTGGTCATTTTCAATCTACGACTGTTTGTGGGACATTGCTGTGCGCAATTGGCTGCCGCGTTCGCCCACAAATATACAGTCAATTCACTTTACAGTGTGTTCTGTGAAGCGCTTTGGGACGTCCTCCCGACGGGAAAAGCGCTATATCAAATGCGAGGATTATTATTATTATTATTGAGACGTCTCAAAGCGCTTCGCGGGACGTACGACAAAATAATGACGACAACAACAATAATAATCCTGGCATTTGACATAGCGGCTGAGGAGTCCCGTAGCTCAGCGGTTAGAGCACTCGCCTGGCAAGCGAGAGACCTGGGTTCGATTCCCGGCAGGTCAGGTCAGGGCGAGACATTGGGCAAGTTTCCTTACTCCACACGGCCAACAATAATAATCCCTCCAGAGAAAAAAACAATAAATTGGTCGACTGTTTGTTTGGGGCGGGGGGTGGGGGGGGGGGGGGGAGACGCCGCTGTGCCGCGTTTCGCCCACAAGATATACAGTCAATTCGCTTTACGGTGTGTCCTGCGCAGCGCTTCGAGACGTCTCGAAGACGCGATGAGGCGCCGTATCAAATGCCAGGGCTGTTATTATCACCGCGCCTTCGAGAGGCCGCGGGGGGGTGGGGGGGGGTGGTGGGCGGGGGAGGAGGCCGTGGGGGTGGGTGGGGGGGGGGAGCCATGGTGGGGGTGGCGGGGGAGGGAGGCCGTGGGGGGTGGCGGGGGAGGGGGCAGAGGGGGAGGGGGTCTGTGGGTGGCGGTGGCGGGGGCGTGGTGGGGGGGGTTGGCGGCGGAAGGGGAGGGGGGCTGTGGGTGGCGGTGGGCGTGATGGTGGGGGGTTTGGCGGCGAAGGGGGAGGGGGGTCTGCGGGTGGCAGGGTGGGGGCGGGGTGGTGGGTGGGGGGGGGGGTTGTCGGCGGAGGGGGGGAGTGGGGGCGCGAAACGGAAACGGTTTGTCAAACCGCCCCGACTCCCACGGCCGGGGAGGGGAGGGGGGAGGGGGGAGGGGGGAGGGGGGGTTTGGGGGGATTCCTGTTGTAAGTTGTTTTGTTTTCCCATTGGGAAAGAGGGAGAAAGAGAGAGAGAGAGAGAGAAGGAGACAACACACACACACAACACACAAAAAAAAATTCCCATCACTGTGTCCCTGTGGCACTCCTGACACAGGCGCCTACGTCACCGCTGCCAGGAACTCAGCTGACTTCGCAGCCGCGGCGGCGCTTCCGGGAACGGCGTCTCCCTCCCTCCGGGCGCCGCCTCTCCAACCAGCGCTGGGGCTGGGCCGGGCCGGGCGGTCCGGCGGGAGGTCGGGAAGGGGACTCGGAAGAGCCCCCTGCGGTGGGCGGGGCGGTGGGCGGAGACAAAGTGCGGGGGAGGGAGGGGAGGTGGTTACGCCCCCTTTTTTTCTCTCGCTCGCTCTCTCGCTCGCCTCGCTCGCTCGCGCGCGCGCGCGCGCGTGCGCTCGCAACCTAACCTGCTGCGACCCGGTCAAGGTCCCGCCCCCTCCCTCCCTTCTTCCCTCCAATCATGACGGCGCGGCGCGCGCGCCGATTGGTCGGCGCGGCCGTCGGTCAAAAGGAGTGTGACCGGAGGAGACCTCCAGCAGAGGTTAGGTTGTCGCGCGGGAGCCGGAGCCCGAGCGCGAGCGCCAACAACAGCCTCAACCGTCGTCGCCGCCGCCGCCATCATAGCCACAGCGTCGTCGTCGTCGTCCTCCGAGGCGGTTTCTCCTCCTCTTCCTCCTCGAGTCGAAGTGCGTCAAAGCTTCCTTCACAAGGTGAGGAGGAGGGAGAGACTAAACACAAACAGACAGACAGACAGACAAACAGCGCTAACTAACCCTTAACTTCATTCGGGAGCGAGTGAAGTCGAGGGAGAAAGTGGCGGCGGTGGGGGGGACGGGACTGGACGGGACGGCGACAGATTCTCCTGAGGTGTTTTGAGGTGGAGGTGGAGGGGGTGGTGGGGGGGAAGGGGAGGGAAGGGGGAGACGGTTGTTCGGGAAGAGGCGATGCCTCGCTCCTAAACTGACTGACTGGACTGTCACCCGAGGAGGAGGAGGAGGAGAGGGGGAGGAGTGTGAGTGTGTGAGTGTGAGGCAAAGAAAAATCGGAACAGTTTTCCTTTTTCTTTTCTTTCTCCCATTCTCTCTCTCTCTCTCGCTCTCTGGTGAGGAGGAGGAGGAGGGAAAGAAGGAGGGCTTGAAGGTGAAAGCAAAAAAAAAAGGGGAAAAAGAAACTTCAGCAGAAGTGACTCTCTCTCTCTCGCTCCCCCCGCCCGCCCCCCCGCCCCCCTCTCTCTCTCTCTCTCTCTCTCGCTCTTCTCTCACCGTTTTCCCAACCAAGGTAAGTCTACTCCGATTTTTTTTTTGGCCTCTTCCCCCCCCCCACCCCACTCCCACCTCCTTCTCCCCCACTCCCACCTCCTTCTCCCCCACTTCCACCTCCTTCTCCCCACTCCCACCTCCTTCTCCCCCACTCCCACCTCCTTCTCCCCACTCCCACCTCCTTCTCCCCCTCTCCCCCATTTCCACCTCCTCCCCCACCCTCTCCCCCCTCCCTTACCCCACCTCCTTCTCCCCGCCTCTCTCCCCCACTCCCACCTCCTTCTTCCCCCTCCTTCTCCCCCACTCCCACCTCCTTCTCCCCCTCTCCCCCATTTCCACCTCCTCCCCCTCTCTCTCCCCCACTCCCACCTCCTTCTCCCCCCCTCTCTCCCCCACTCCCACCTCCTTGTCCCCCCTCTCTCCCCCACTCCCACCTCCTTGTCACCCCCTCTCTCCCCCACTCCCACCTCCTTCTCCCCAAGTCAAATCCTTACTGTAACTTGCTAACTCTGCCTGACCTGAGGGGTGATGATGGGGTGAGGGGTGATGATGGGGTGGATGTATCTTGAATGTGCTTTATTGGATTTTTGTGACACCCCATTTTCCTTCTATTTTGCACCCCTCTTCCCCCCCCCCCCATCTCCCTCTCCTCTCTCTCCCCCCTCCCCCTCCATCCCATCTTCTTCCCTATCCTATCCTGTGTATGTTATATTTTCGCCCACGAAATGTACGGTCAATTCACTTTACAGTGTATCCTGTAAAGGGGCTTTGAGACGTCCCGAAAACGTGATAAGGCTCTGTGTCAAATGCCAGGACTATTATTATTATCTCCCCCACCAACACCCAAGAAAGTGTTTAGTTGTAGGACGACACTTGTCTTTATTCCAATTTGACAGCTGTTCATTGGGGCATTTTTAAGATCTTTATCTTTGTTTACTGATAATACATGGTAGGTGGTGCGGGGGGGGGGAGAGAAAATCTGTAGAAAACTTGAAGGCAGTCACAGTATCCTTTTATTTTTGTGGCTGGGGCACATTTGTCTGCAAAACACACAGCCATTAACTTGACAGTAAATCCTGTGAGTCATTGAGACATCCTCCTGATGTAAAAGATGCCAAATCAAATGCAAGGATTATTATTATTATTCAGCAGTGAATCTCACTGAATTCTTCACTTGTTAGAAGGGAATGCTGATTTGTGAAAGAAAATGGACTGTCAACCAGCTTGTTTTGGTCTGTGTGTGGTGTGGGAGGCGGAGAGAGACGTTAACTGCTTTTACTTGGGGCCTAACTGAAGGAAGTGTGCTAACTGTTTATATACGGAAGGAAGGATATTACTATGTGTGTAGGGCACAATTTCTGTTAATAAAGGTACCAGTTGGAGAACGAGTTGGAGAATTAAACTTCATTTTTATTGTTGTGCATATGGCAAACACATGAATGAATAAATAAATGAATGTTGGAAGAATAGTGATTTTGGAAGCTATGCCTTGTACACTTGGAATCAGTAGTGTGCAAATAATTGTTGTTGACAGCCATTTACAGTACAGATGAGGCAATTCAGACACAGTGCTTCGAGATTCTTCTCCGTGTGAAGGGTGCAATATAAATACAAGTTTTGTGGTAGGTATTGAGATCCTAATATGAGTTGAACTAATACTCCACAGACATTAAATTTGAGTATGGGAAGTGCATGGGTTATTAGTCCAACCTGCATTCTAGACCAGTGTGTTTACAGTTGAAATCATTGGAATATATTTAAAATTGACACCAAATGCACCTTTACAGGTTCGTTTACTGGAAGATTCTTTTACTACCATTGTAACTAGTTTATTCACACAATGTTGTATTTGAAAACATGAATAATATTTTGGTTATTTTGTTTGGAAGTTATAATAATATAGTAAAAGTGCTATGTCAAATGCAAGAATTATAAGTTTTGATGTCACTAATTTATTTTAAATGTGCTGAGGTAGTAGTCCAGATAAAAATTTACAGGGCATTTTGCACCAGACCTGCAAAGTAAAATTGTAGGTACCACAATTGTAAGTTATATTTTGTGTATACCTTGAGGTTTTTAAACCGTGTAATGTAATTTAATTCATTTTTTAAAGTAGTGGAATGATGTTCTGTATGAAGCGTGCAGGGTTGTTTATATTATGTTCTTTCATCCCTTCCAGGATATTTAATATGTCCAGTTTGCTTATTGTTATTATTTTAGCTTTTTTAAAAAAATACCTCTAATGCTAAGGGAGTTGTGCTCCTTTTGATATATCAGTGGCTTCCTTGCAATGTAAAGTAGTAAAGTAGGCAGTGTGATACTAATATTTCACCACGCAAACCTCCTCCTCGCTGAGGTAAACGATTAAAGATGTTTCATACAGTGGTCAGCCAGGATACATCATTAGTGTTAGGAGTTTCCCAGCATGTCGCAGTACAGCAAATCAATAACCTGTGGAGACTGTCAGTTCCTGGTTTACAAATAACAACAACAACAACTTGGATTTGTATAGCGCCCTCCACGCCGGACGGCAACTCAGAGCGCTTAAATAAGCTGAGGGCCGCCAAGAAAGTTCTTTTGGCATTTCTGCTTCCTCCTCGTGCAAGCTTGAAATGTTACAGCTGTGATGTCTGACCGCAACAGGCATAACTTTCAATAAACTCGTATCCATTTAGATACGCCTGCAGAATGGTGTTGCTACACAATATGACATTTGATGTCGGCCTGTGTAGCAAATCGCAGCATTGTAGGAAGTTGCTCTGACGGTCTAATGCTGCATTACAAAAAGGAAATGAAATTCAGAATGTTAATCTCTATCTTAATATTGGTGGGCAATGTTGTTTTGCATATTATTTGTGCATGAATCTGGAGTGGAATGATATTGAAACTAGAAGGTGTGAATTATGGATCAGATTACGAGAATAAGGAAGGAAGTTCATTGTAAGAAGTAATTTTACTGGCAGTGACGTTAAACAACCCCCCCCCCCGGCCCCCCCAAGCCAGTTACTGGGAATATTCTTTCCCTGTTATTCAGCAATTGATTCAGCATTCATTAACCACATTCACCTGAAAGGATGAGACTGATGGTGTTCGGGCTTCTGCCATATTTACACTTTATGGTTATCTTAGGTCGTGTGCGGCTGATACCTGTGGTAATGGGGAAGTGACTGTTGGGCATTTTTGGTCAAAATCCTTTTGGTGCTGCCTTCCTTTCCCCTTGGCTCATTTTATGCATAATGATTAAAACCAATAATCTCTTCAAAAATAAAATAATAATAATTCAATCTATGGTTGTTTGTGGGACACTGCTGTGCGCAATTTGTTGCTGTGATTCACCCACAAAATACAGACATTTCACTTTACAGTATATTCTGTAAATAGCTTTGAGTTTCAAAGATATGATAAGGCGCTATATCAAATACAAAGATTATTATGAAAGTAAATTGACCAGTTGTGGAGTACAGTAATTGTTAGGCTGAATTACAACAGTAATTGTTACTCTGTGCTTTTAATCCTCCATATTACGGGAATTACAGGTCGGAACGCTATAAATATGCTCTGACTGGAATGGTTTGGCAATAGTACAAGTGCATGGGTTTGCTATTTGAACAGGCCTATTGTTTTAGAAAGATTAAAAAAATTTCATGTAGACATTGGCTTTCTGCCTACTTAAATGTAGTAGAATAAACTTGATCCAAAATACTTCAACATGTTCACTTTTGTACCTATGTGTCATTCCATTACCTGTGCAATACTTCTGAGATGTGACATCCTTACGTTTGGGGTTATACCACAAAGTAAAACCAGTTTGACTTCATTTGACTTGGTGACTCAACTATTCATCTCTGTACTTCAGTAGCAAAACAATTGGTTGGCATCGTCAGAAAAGTGTAATTTGTCGCCATTATACTTGCAAAGTAATGTAATTTAGCTTTTTCTGTGGTGTGGATTTATGTGGATGATACCCGAAGGATATTTATTTCTAATGCAGTTTGATATTTCCTTATTTCCTTTGCTCCTAAACTGACTCGTATTTCATTAGGGCAAATGCCAATGTAATTCTTCATGAAAACCAGATGAACATTATAATTTTGCGACCTTTTAGGACGAACGTTGCCTGCCTCTGAAGTTTTATTAAGCACTTTGATTCCATTAATGACTCACCGCGTCAGCCTGAAACACCTCAGCTGATGCTAAGATGGTACCTTTATTTATATTGTATGCGTGGCTTTAGATGTGCACAAAAATCTTTGTACTTTTTTTCTTTCGTGGTTGACGTCATCCAAACACTTTTGGGGTTTTAGTCTTAATTCCCCACTTTCCCCAGCTGTCTATTATTCTGACAAAGTTACAATTACAGGCTATATTTTAGTGGTAATTGGGGAGGGGAATTTTTATATAAATCTCAGACAGTTCTGAATTGAATACATTCCTGTGCTGTATTGCATAGACTCTTCAACTGGATCATTGCCTTCAACATATTTAGAGAGACAGTATATTTAACTTAACTTGCATTTTAACTCATTCCTGACTTATAATTTATTATTTAACTCCCCCAGCTCGGTGTCGTGTTTCGCCACTGTCAAGCACTCTGGGACGCTACCCTGCGTGAGGGGGGTTATCCAAATGCAAGTTGTAAAACTAATTTGACTTTTGTTGATGTAACCAGAGTGTGATATGCACACGGTTGCAAAGTTTAAGTGCCATGGTACGGGAAGCAAGCGAAGCTATTAAAAGATTGTGATCTGTATGATAAGTGCTGCACAGTCTTTGTTCCTGAATTTGTCAGTTTAATTTTAGAACTCTAATGCCTGGTAGCGGTAAATGGGTGTAGGCAGCTATGAATCGTCAGGTGGAGAGTTCAGACCCTTGGCAAATTTATTGTCTTATTGTTGGGAATTGAGAGAAAAAAGCTTTGGTATCCAAATGTCACTTAGACAGAGCAATATTACACCACTATTGATTTCATTTTGTCATCAAGAGTCAGATTGCCCCCCCCCCCCCCCACTCTGTTGCAAATAACCTGAAAAACAATAGGTTCTTGTTTTGATATGGTTTTAGTGCAATTAAAATAGCCAATTATTTTCTTAAAGATAGAATAATTCCTTGTCCCCACGTCACCTACATACAACAACTTGCATTTGTATAGAGCTCTTCATGCGGAGAGCGTCGTATCTTGGCTTGTTCAAGTATCTTGTCGTTCAGATGGTTTAGATTCTTTTACGTTTTATAATCTTATTGAATGTGTTTGTGCTGGTTTCTTCGCTTGGGTGCAGATTTCAGGAGAAAACCCAAACAGGAACATTTTTGATGTACATCTCACAAAGTTGACACGGCTGACTTAATCCTCTTATGCAAAGATAATCCTTGAAACTGAGGGAGTTTCCCAGCCACTGCAAAGTCTAAGAAATCCACGTATATTGGAAACAAGAATCCTAGTCAATCCTCTCTAACCTCTTGTGTGTGTGTGTGTGTGTGGGCGTATGCATGATTTCATTCTAGCACATGATTTTTAAAACTTGATTGGGCTTTCACACCCAATCATTTTACACTTGGTCTGATGTTCAGTATAGAAAATAGGTGATTCCAGAGAAACAAACCTTTCTGTGATTACTCCATTTCATGACTCACTCAGGAATTCTCCTTAAACTGTGAACTGTGGCTATATGAGTTTTCTACACTTTACCTCTCTGGAGGATTATCTACTAACGTGAATCATTCATCAGGTATAACTTCAATTCTCTACACAGATATACACAGGCATTTTCTATTGCAAGTTAATTACTGGTATCTTTGAATTTATTGCCTGAAATTGTAATGCTTCCTATGTTTTTTCTGCACTGAAGTTTGTTCTGCCTTTGTTGGAGTAGATTAGCTTTGATGTTTGCCTATGTAAAACAAACTTCTGCACTTCAGACTAGCTCTTTGTTTGGGAAGTTTCACAGTGATAAGGCACTATATCAAATGCAAATAGTTAAAATTATTACGCAATTGGTGAACCCTGGATACGTTCTGCTGTGTCAGTTTAACTCACCAGCTGTTTTGCGACATTCGATTTTAAGATGATCAACAAGGTTCAATTTCTCTAGCTAGAGATGGCTTCCCCCGAAAGAGGAAACGTTAAAACATCCACCACACCTTCACAGATGGGACCTCGGTTTAACCTCAGGACCTTCGACAATAGAGGGTTCTCTCAGTCCTGCACTATGTTGGCGCTTCAACGTAGACTGATTGCTCCTGTGTTCAACTCCCTGCACAAGTGGCCGATTTAATCAGTCCAGAATTTTGCACTGCAGCCCTGCCAACCAAGAAATAATTATTTTTTCATGACTTTCGAAGGATGGTATAATCGTGCACTATCCGCAGTTTCTTTTTCCGTTTGTTAAGGTCAACGTTTCTCTCTTGCGCTTTTTTTTTTTGGTAAGAGTTAATTTCCTGTGCGGTTATCACTTAACTTATTAACGTCCTGTGCAGTCAGCAAAACATTTCATGATAAATGCGTCGTATTTTAATTTAACTTGCGCCTGTCAGATTGTAACTTTTCGTCATGTGATTTTTAAAATTCAGATCTAAGCGCCAAGTCAAAATGAATTTAGCTTGACACGGGAATTTAGTTTTTAAATAGAATGTAGTAAAGTTAAGAACCACCTGTTGTTATGCTTCTCCTGATTTGAACGTGTATTTGGACTAAGAATAATAATCCTTGCATTTGAGATGGCGCTTTTCACGTCGGGAGGACGTCCCAAAGCGCTTCACAGAACACACTGTAAAGTGAATTGACTGTATATTTGTGGGCGGACGCGGCAGCCATTTGCGCACAGCAATGTCCCACAAACAGTCGTAGATTGAAAATGACCAATTTATTATTGTTTTTGGTTTTGGAGGACTATTATTAGGCTCTGTGTGGTGTAAGGAAACTTGCCCAAGGTTTCGCCCTGTGCCTGGAATTGAACTCAGGTCTCTCACTTGCAAAGTGAGTGCTCTAACCACTGAGCTACAGGACTCCACGTTCGTTGTACGTGTAGTTGGACTGGGTTTACGAAAAGCTTAAAAATGACAACTTAATGGCATTTTCTCTGGTGGGGTAGAACTGCTTGCAGATATTGCTTGTTACGGTTCGTTCCTCGCAAATTCAGACTTTCACACTTCCGAAACCTATAAAAATCCTACTTCAGTTCCATTGATCAACCAATTCCATTGATTGGAGTTGCTCTGATCAAAATATACTTGGCATTGAGAACACAACAGAGACAAAGTTTGTAAGGGGAGGGTGGGGTGGGGGGGGGGCGCGATAGCAGGTTTCTAAAAGTTTTGCCCTTTCTCATAAATTCTAGTATCCCTAGTTTTGTTGCAAGGTGAGAGACCATCTGTTTCTATCAGTGTGTTTCATTATTTGGGGAAGTTTTATGAGGTGAGAATGTTTAGAATTGTTAGAAGTGGGTGTTTTTTAGAATTGTTAGAAGTGGGTGTTTTTTTTTACAAAAAAAAACAAGTTGCTACAAATGTTAAAGGAAACTATTTACCGACTAGAAGTGACATAAGCACCGTGGAAAGTAACTGAATCTACGTTGGGTGGGGAATTTACTAGTTTGGGAAGAAACTGTTTCTCTTAACCTACATAATTTTGGTATGATTGTACAGGTCTAAGCTTTTCATAGACTGCTGTCTTCCTCTTGCGTCATTAAGGTTGTGGGGGGGAGGGGGTGGTGGGGGGGGGGGGAGTGGTGGAGGAATATTTGAGTATTGGGTTATCTGCTGTTGCTGTTTAATTTGGGGAAATGTAAAACTGCTTTGAAAAAAAAATCAGCCAAATTGCCACAATATAGTCCTTGTTCTGAGTGTCCCGGGGCCATTGCTTAGTAATGTGGACGCCCGTTTATTCAGATGTGCTTTATTTAAAGTACGTGGCTCATCCTGGTCCATTTGAGTTGAGTAAAGGGGGAGAGCCTCTTTATTAAGAAATGTGAACTAAGCAAATGGCCTGCGACCAAAACTGGAGTATGCTGGTATAATACGAGAAGTGACTGTTTCATGTCTAGTCTATATTCACTTCCATTTTGATGAATTGGAACTAGCAACTACTGTATTTCTTTGTGGCCAGTTGAATTCACCATTATTCTTTGTGTGTTTACTTCCATGAATGCTATGCTCCAGCCTAAAGACATCGAAGATTCCTGTTCCATCCGTGTATGTTTTGAACCGGGTTTTTCACCTTCTAAGTAGACAGTCACAGCATTTTACACTATATCCTGTCAAGCACTTTGAAGCATCCTCTGGATGTGAAAAGTGCTGCGTCAAATGCAAGGATTATTACTATTATTAAAAAGTAGTTGTGACTTGAGACCTTGCTATGTGCAAACTGGCTGCTGTGGTTGAATAGCAAAGTCACTACACCGTAGGGACTGAAATTCTTTCAGGCATTTCAGGTATAAGTGCTTTATCAAATGCAAGGATTATTAACTCAGATTGCAATTGGCTTTTTTTTTNCTCGACATGAAATAAAAATGATCAGGAAAGGGAACCCTCCCACCCTGTATATTTCTGTTTTAATACTATTAATTTTGTCCTTTAAGTGCGCAGTGGGTCTCCTTGTCCTGCATTTCCAACGTGTACCGTGTACAATTGTCTTGATAGTGCACAATATACATTATTATCCGTGCACCTAATATATCTGAGCATTCTAAAAGCTTTCCAGTGAACTTGCATGAAACCGTGGCAAGTGAAGGAGTTCATAGTAATGTTATGCAATAACTCGTTTTATTTTGGCATTTTTTAGCTCGCGGTCACCTCCTCACACGATGGCGCAGTGGAACCAGTTACAGCAGTTGGACACGAGATACCTGGAGCAATTGCACCAGCTTTACAGTGACAGCTTCCCCATGGAGCTCAGGCAGTTTCTGGCAGCTTGGATAGAAACTCAAGATTGGTACGTACAACAGGCGTTTAGTTTACATAAGAACATAAGAACTTGTTAGGCGCAAGAAGACCAAGGTCCATCCAATTCGCCTTCCACATCCTGATAGTTGCATGATACGTCATGTCACAAACTAAATATTATATCCCGAGATATTATTTCCCTAACCAAAATCTATCTAACTTGTTCTTGGATATTTAAATGCTTTAAACCCAAATTCACCAACAAAGTACACAGTCACAGTAGTATATCCTGTGAAGCTCATTGAGACATCCTCTTGACGTGAAAGGTGCTGTATCAAATGCATGGATTATAAATATAATTATTCAAGTTGCCCTTCTTTGTGTGTGGGGGAAGGGGGGGTGTGTCTTTGGTGTGTATCACATGTAGAAGTTTTTTTGTTTTAGAAATCTTTCAATATATACCTTAATTAACAAATGTAATGGGGATTGATGGAAAGAAAAATGATTGGAACATGTTCCTGGTATTGATCGCTGACTGTTTAATTTGTAGGGCATATGCAGCTAGTAAGGAGTCTCATGCCACCCTGGTATTTCACAATCTGTTGGGCGAGATTGATCAGCAATACAGCAGGTTTCTGCAGGAATCCAACGTCCTGTATCAGCACAACCTAAGAAAGATTAAACAGTACCTCCAGGTATGTCATGTTGTCTCTCGATTAAATATCTTTCACTTAATTTCTTAATCACAAACTACTTTATCGCAGTTTGACGTGGAGACATTTACATTACATTAATGTGAAAGTGCAAGTTTATAGCCTTCTGACTTTATTTATATCATGGTCTTTCAATCTTAAGTCCTGGGAGTTTGGTCTTTGTCAGGACAGGACAAATCCCCAGCTGAACAATTTGGTGGCATTGAGGAAACTTTGAGGTTTCTAAGCAATTGGAGATGTCTCAACGATGAGGCGCTATATCAAATGCAAGGATTATTATTATTATTATTATTATGATTAGCTAAATTTGAATCCCTTTTATTCTGCAACTTTGAATGCGCCTGATTTCAGCAGCACTTGCTTGTTGTTGAGTTTGCACCTTGTCCTCAGGATCTCTTTCCCCACTCCAGCGAAACGCAGAAGAATTTGAAGTCGTGTTGGACCCTGTTGGAAAATAAGAGGACAGAGTAGCTATCAGTGAACCATCGACACTGGCACTTCAGGCAATTCTTGTATTTGCGGGGAAAACCGTGGAGGAGGAAAAGAGTTGATTGAAAAAAAGATTACATTCCTGTGGTGTGGCAGATCACCACACATCTAATCAGCCTTAACGTTTAAGGAGTTTCGAAACTTCAAATTCCATTGTATCTAACGGGTTTACAATTTGAGCTGAAGGGTGCCAATAAACTATAGCAAACTAAACCGTTGGCTATGATTTCTCGACCAGGGCAGAGAGTTTTTCTCTGGGTGTCCTGGCCAACTATCCCCCAACTCAAATTGGTCAGTCACTCCACGGCTGTTTGTGAGACATTGCCGTAGGTAAATTGGCTGCTGCGCTTCGTGCACAAAATAGTACGCACCATCGCGTCACTTTACACTTCAGAATCCTGGGAAGCGCTTTGAAATGTCTCAATAATATTATTATTATCTCGATGGCATGATAAAGCACTGTAAAAAAAAATTAAGAATTATTGATTTTCCTTCATTGCAACTAAGGCAAGGAATCATACTTTTGATTTTTTTTTAAATGAAATATTTTTGTTCTGTTTTCAGAGCAGGTACCTGGAGCGGCCGATGGAAATTGCACGGATCATCGCTCGCTGCTTGTGGGAAGAAGCTCGTCTCCTTCAGGTGGCTGCCTCAGTGTCACAGGTGGGTGACATGCCTAACAACAACAACTTGCATTTATACAGTGCCCCTTACGCATGGTAGAATCCCAGAGCGCTTTCCAACCAGCATTCTAAAGCTGTGTATGCCCACATGCTTTCTGGGTAGAGTTAATCCGCCAATTTAAGATCAGAGGTTTTAATAGGTGTTTTATACTTAAAAAAAAATGTGTGTGGGGTAAACTAGGAAGAAGGAAAAGAGTCGAAATAAGGGAGGGGAGAAAAAAGGATTTCATTCCTGTGGAGTAGCAGATTGCCACATATATGATCAGCCTTAACCTTTAAAGTATTTTTTGTCAGGGTTCTTTAAATGAGGGTGAAATTCAAGCAGATTCAGACTTTGCTGTTGCAATGGGCTGTTTTTAAAATAAACTTAAATGTACTTTTAAAGCACAAGTAAGCAAGCAAAGCTTTCTTTCATTGCTGAAAACTAAAGGCAGTATTTTTTTCTCTCTACATGTATGTAGCAAGCCGGTCAGTCACCACACCATAGCTCTGTGGTTACAGAGAAACAACAAATCCTTGAACACAATCTGCAGGATGTACGGAAGCGAGTGCAGGTATGTCCACGAGAGGAGACGAAAAACGTTAAGATTTAATATTCCTTCCCTTTAATTTGGATTGATGTCTGCTCACAGCGGTTCAGTGAGCAGAACATGTTTTTTTGCCTTGTCTTTCTGAACATATTCACAGTTCATATTTTTGATATTTATTTTGCAGGATCTTGAACACAAGATAAAAGTGCTGGAGAACCTACAGGATGACTTTGATTTTAATTACAAGACCCTGAAAAGCCAAGGAGGTAAGTGGTGGTGGTTTCAAGCATAGGAAGCCATTTGCTTCACTATCCCTTAGCTCCCCCAACAGAGTTGATCTAATTCCTTTGCTCTTTCCCTGATCGTATCTGCTGGCGCTCGCTCCCCTTTTATATCTCGTTCAATTGAAGCCATCATTTTGTCACCCCTTTTTAAAATGCTTTGTGAAATCGGTTCTAATACGAGATCCAAGTTGGGCTAATTGCTCACGGACCAACCAGGGTTAAATGGCTTTATAATCGGCCTGATCTCCTTTGGCCCATTTTATCTCCTCCCAAACTACCCACCACACTATTTTTCCTATCATAGCATCAAGCTGTTTTAAATGAGATCAACCATCCTTTAGCCCAACCCGCTCTTTAGATCCCGTTGTTAACAGTATGACAGAGAATACTAAGAAGGATATTAATTAATTTCATAATTAATACTTTTCCCAAACACATTTACACGCACACCATATTGGTGCTGACTGTGTTTGCAACAACTGAACTCTTGTGTTTTTTTTTGATCTGAACTTTAACAGATGTGCAGGATCTGAATGGTAATTCACAGGCAGCCACAAGGCAGAAGATGGCACAGCTGGAGCAAATGTTGACCGCTTTGGACCAGATGAGAAGGGTACGGTTCTTAAAAACAAAACAAAAAAACTTGTTTTAAAAACTTTCCATATACACAAATAGTACCTCTGCTGTCAATTTTCTGACATGTTGCATTGCAGCCACGTTAACATGGATTCACAGGTGTGGAGGTAATTCTTTGCTTCCTTACTTAATGTATTCTTTTTTTTAAAATTAAAAACACAGCAAATCGTCACTGACTTGGCTGCACTTCTGTCTACCATGGAGTTTGTGCAGAAAACTCTGACCGACGAGGAACTGGCTGATTGGAAAAGGCGACAGCAGATCGCGTGTATAGGAGGCCCACCCAACATCTGCCTTGACCGTCTCGAAACCTGGTAACAAAACATTCTGAGTAGATTTATTGTTCAGGGTATGGTTTGCTAACCGTATACAAATTGGCACAACCAGGGGATTGAGAGTTGCAATACTTTTAAGAGTCCATGTTGAATGCTAGTTTCTTCTTGTGGGGGGAAACACGTGTTGGTCATTGGCTACAAATAGTCATTGCACTACGTATAAACTTTGAAGCGCTTTGAGACGTTCTTGTTTTTTTATTATTATTGGTATTATAGAGCCTGCTATGTGGCAACTCTTTACTTTGATTTCCCTGCCGTTTGTATCCTTTATATCTTTATTTATCACGTATCTGTTCATCTCAGTCGGTTCCCAATCTGTGGCTTTCTGAGGTTTGTTGACAGTCCAAATACCCAAATGTAACATGAAGCTAGCTCCTCTATACTTTTGGAGTCGAATTTGTCTTTAAACACCACAAAAATCCAGTGGTTTAGTTTTATTCTCAATGGAAGAAAAGTAAGATTGTGCCTTGAATGACTTGTTTGAATATTAAGCTTCCTTTTTTTTCCTTTCTTATCAGGATCACATCTTTGGCAGAGTCTCAACTCCAAACACGTCAGCAGATCAAGAAGCTGGAAGAACTACAACAAAAGGTTTCTTACAAAGGCGATCCCATTGTTCACCACAGGCCGGTTCTGGAGGACAGAATTGTTGAATTATTTCGGACCCTCATTAAAAGGTAAATTGGTCACTCAATCCGCGACTGTTTGTGGGACGCTGTGCGCAACTGGCTGCCGCGTTTAGCCCACAAAGTGTAGCCAATTCATTTTACAGTGTATTCTGTGAAGCGATTTGCGACGTTTCGAAGATGTCATGAGGCATCAAATCCAAGGATTATTATTATTACTTTGAGTGCTCTCTGCCTCTCTCACTCTGATCTTCCACAGTGCTCACAGAGAAATGGTGAACAACTGCATATAGTGTCAAATAACTCGACTACCCTGGGTGTTCAAAACAAAATGAGGAAAAGTGTATTTAATATGTCTAAGGTGTAAAAAAAAAAGCATCTTGTGAGCAGGGGAGAATGTTCATTCTGTTTGTGTTTGAGCTCAGTGGTGGATGAGCCACTATTATCCCACTACACCAACCAGTACTGTGATCTCTTAAATTTTTTGCCCTCAGCTGATTGATTATTCCTTTCTCCGCCTTTGATTTGTTACCCATCTTACCTCTTCTCGTAGCCTCTGATGTAATTACTAACTTGGTAAAGATCAGCCACTGGCTGTTAGATGCAAGCCAGTAATTAGATGAGCCAGGCTTTAATCCCAAGTCTGTGTGTGTTTATGTATGTATACATTGACAGATTAACGTGCTTTGCCACAACAAACAAAAATGTTTCATGTGTGCTCAATCCTTTGTTGTAGCTGATGAATGTGTTTTCTGTTCTCAGTGCTTTTGTTGTAGAGAGGCAGCCATGCATGCCAATGCACCCAGACCGGCCCCTGGTGATCAAAACGGGTGTGCAATTCACAACAAAAGTCAGGTAAGTCGAATATTGGCAAATCTCGTAACTGCTTGCCAGGATCAATGTGTGTGCCAGAGGTGTTAGCTTTTCCACTGCTACCATACAACCCGTCCTTACATTGGAATTGGATAAGGATCTGTTTAAAGCGTGAATTAGTTGGGCTTAAAGCCAATCATTTGAAATGACTTCTTAGAGGTCAGTGTTCGAGTGGTCTCCTGTGCTTGTGCTCCAGGTAAATATAAGCTGTTCCAGAAATTCAAAATGCATTTTGTTCACTTGAATCAATAACTGGTTCTACAGAAATGTTACTTAAGTGGCCGTCGTGGTTGAAAAGGAGAATAGAATCAGGAAGTTGGGGTTAGCGGATGTCAAGCTTGAGCTTTAACCTGTCAGTTTATAGGGAAGAATGACCAACCGATCAACAAAATGAGCGCCAGAAAGTTTCTTATCTCCACTCTTATTTAATTTAGCTCACATAATCGACGGAACTGTCTTTGATCACAAGCTTTTTGTGCTCAATTTGCCACCTTGAGTTGAAATTCCTTCCTTAACTATTCACCTGAAGTCTGTTAGTGTTTTATTCTGTAGTAGGAGCTCTTGAAAGTTTTTAACTATTGCTGGATAATAATGTGGAAGGGCAACAGAACATGCCATTGCCTTCTGTTCCCAGTTCCCAGCAAGATTGTAATCAGCTTGTTCCCAAAAATACACCGGGCAAGGATTAGCTTCAGATTATCATGCAATTCAATATTGTACAACCGATACCCATTGCTGACATTGAACAAAATTTGGCTCCTTATTGACCCCTTATCCTTTGATCTTAGAAAATCTTGAGCTTAGTCAATGCACTATGCTGCCTCTTTACAGTGGAAGACCGCTTGTTCTTCAAGAGAAAAACAGTTTTAAGTCCACGTTGAGTGTTTTAACCCGTCTTTGTTAAATGGGGATCTAATGTCTGAAACTTAAAGCCTCCATCTAAAGAATTGGATGCAATCATTTCCATGCAAAACGCAGCATAAATCAATCCTAGCCAAGAAACAGTTTACAATGTGTCCTTTGTTGGAAGCAAAACTCTGACCCTGTCCTCAATTCTCATTGATATTCTCGAATTGGGGGTTGAGGAAGACTTTGAGTCCATTGTGTGTCAATGCTAATGAAGTGGGTATTTCCTAACTATTGGTGGCAGAAGTAACTTTATTCCAATAATGGTGTGTTTCTGAAAGGGTTGATGGATTTTGTTTGTGGAAGCTTGTTGCATATCTCAGGACAGATAATGAGGTTTGTTCTTTAATGAGCAGTTCCTCTGAATGGTAACCACTACGTTTGAGTAAACCTGGTTCTCTTCTGTTTCCAGGTTACTGGTGAAATTTCCCGAGCTAAACTATCAGCTTAAAATCAAGGTTGCTATTGACAAGTGAGTATTTAGCAACTCTGATACTCCTGTTCAGAGACTTGGTCATTGACCCTACGTATAAATCTATACTCTTTCTCCCATTAGTTGTGTTTTTATTTAATTTTTTTGAAAAAAAAAGGCTTAGTTCTGTCTCATTACCTGTAATATCGGTTCCCGTTTCTCCATGGAGGAGCTTACACTGATTTTGACTTGGGTAGAAGTGAAACTTGAATCATTTTCTTTTGTTCCAGGGATTGTGGCGATGGGTCAGCATTGAGAGGGTGAGTTTGTTTTTCTCGTGTCGTATAACTCTTAAGTGTAAAATTTCACCATCTTACCTTTGGGAGAAGGACGCAGTTCACTAGCACGATGGACCGAATAGTCTCCTTCTGTGTTGTAAAATTCTATGATTCCTTAGTGGGATTAGTTGGTGGCTCTTTCAAAGAGCCAGCACAGGCACGATGGGCCGAATGGCCTCCCTCTGTGCTGTAAGATTCTATGATCTCCCGAAGCCAGAACCAGTTTGGCTGTAGGTGTCCAGTGCTTCCAGGTGTGTTCTGGGCTGACGTGTCACTGTGTCTCCTCATGTGTAGGTCACGGAAATTTAACATACTGGGAACCAATACAAAGGTCATGAATATGGAGGAATCCAACAACGGAAGCCTGTCTGCGGAGTTCAAGCATTTGGTAAGTGTCGTGAAGAGAGCGATTAATCGGCGAAGGACGTGGGCTCAGGAATTCTACCTGGTTCTTGGCTTTAGAACTGTTCTCTCAACAGAGCAGAGTGTGCAAGTTCTTAAATTCAGTCGATGGTTCTTGAAAGGTGTTGCTGATGAATGTCTTGTTTTGCTTTGCAGACGTTGAGGGAACAGAGATGTGGGAATGGAGGCAGAGCCAGCAGTGATGTAAGTACCAATCTCTTCCCCCCCCACCCCCCCCCCCCACCCCTGCATTCTGCCCAAACACAGCTGTATCTAAGGAGCGGTAAGGTTTAATCTATTTCAACATCACTGAGGGAGAGTTGTGATGTGAGTGCGATTGCTGGGATATTGTGACTTTCCTGGGTTTTTTTGAGGAGAAGAAAATAATCGGGGATGGAATTTCTCTTTCTCCAGGCTTCCCTCATCGTGACTGAGGAACTGCACCTGATCACATTCGAGACTGAGGTTTATCACCAGGGGCTCAAGATTGATTTGGAGGTTTGATCCTTACTCAGACTATACTACTATACAACTTGCATTTATAAATCGCCCCTCGCGCAGGTAGCGTCCCTGAGCGCTGCACTTTTGGAACCGTTGTGTCGTGTGTTTTGATTTTTAAAACTGAAATATACTTAGTGATATTTTAAAGTTTTTATTGCAAATGAGCTCAAGTTTGCTTTAAACTATCGTGTTGGCTCGGGAAGTTATTTTCTTTGAGAGTGACTTAAAGGAGCGGCACCTTGTTAGACTGCATTATCTCCCAATATTAACTGTGCCATTTGGAACTGTCCAGACCTGATTTTTGAACTGTTTATTAAGTTGCATCAGTTTTAAGACACACACAGTCCCTCTTCACCTATCAGCTCACTCCCAACTCAGCAGAAAGGAATGGAAGCTGTTTCCTGTAAGAAAGGTGTCTCTGTAAGAAAACTATACCTCTATACCCCTAAAAAAAAAGTGTTCTGAGATGTGATTTAGATTAAAACGAGAATTTGTGTGTTTGACCTTCAATGGTCTTTCTCTACCAGACGTCATCGCTCCCCGTGGTAGTGATCTCCAACATCTGCCAGATGCCAAACGCCTGGGCCTCCATTCTCTGGTACAACATGCTGACCAACAACCCAAAGGTACAAAACTCTCCTGGTGTTTCAACCACTATCTATTTTATCTTGTCAAGACCACTTTGACCGCGCTTTCAGTCATCATGTAGAGTCCTGTAGCTCAGTGGTTAGAGCTCTAACCGACTCGCCTTGCAAGTGAGAGCACCTGGGTTCCTGGGTAGGTCGGGGAGAAAAGTTAGCCATGTTTCTTTAGTCCACGCTTCTCTGTTTATCTAGCAGTAAGTAGGAACCCGGTTGTGAGTTGATTGACGAACACAGTTAGCTGTATGAAGCACTTTCAGACGTCGTCCTGATGTGAAAGAAGCTGTGCAACTGTACATTAGAAGAGTCATTGAATCATTGGATACCCTAAATCACTACACTTTCCAGTATATTGTGCGAAGTGCTTGAGATGTCTCAAAGGCATGATTAGGCGCTATATCAAATGCAAGGATTATTATTAAGCTGCATCAGAATTGTTTAGTAACACGAAGATGTGCATCAGACACTTTACGGCAATGAATAGTTGTTGTTGGGGTTCTTTTTGCTCTCCTTTTCAAAGAGCTTTGTAGGGTAATGAGCAGTAAGACTGGTCTCTGGGGTATTAAGGGAATCTATTTACTTTGTGGTATGGCAGATGAAACCACTCCCCCCACCCCTCGACTGTGTGTGTGTGTGTGATGTGTGTGTGTCTCTCTCTCTCACTCTCCACCTCTCTGGGAAAGCAATTGATCAGATGCCATTTAGTATACAATATTTGCTGTGGCCGCCAGGTTAAGTCGCAGGTTTTGAATATTTACTGATTGATCGCGCGTTGCATTTGTGAACCAGAACGTGAACTTCTTCACCAAACCCCCGGTAGCCACTTGGGACCAGGTGGCTGAGATTCTCAGCTGGCAGTTCTCCTCCACCACGAAGAGAGGCCTCAACATGGAGCAGCTGGCAACGCTGGCCGAGAAACTGCTGGGTGAGCACCTCACCTCCCTGCTGTGTTTTACCATTCACTATGTGATTTGTGATGGATAATAATCTTTCTAATAATCCTTGGGTTGTTCTCTCCCGCCCCAGGCTCCGCTCCCCCATCCCCCAGAGGATAAAGTTCAAAATCCTCACCTTCAAAGCCCTCCGCGGCCTTGCCCCTTCCTGCCTGTGTGACCTGCTAACGCCATGTCGACCTGTCCGCTCAGCAGCCTCCAGTCTGCTTCACGTCTCACGCCCTGGCCGGCCCCACCATCGGCGGCCGGGCCTTCAGCCTCTCTGCCCCCACCTTTAGGAACTCTAGCCCACCGTCCCTTCATCTGGCTCTCTCCATTGCCTCCTTCAAGGCCCATCTCAAGACCCTCCTCTTCCACCATAGCTTCAGTAACCCTCCCTCCCCTCCACCCTTCCAGATCCCAGCTCGGGTGTCGGGTGCAAATTACTGACTGTCCAGTGTCTTGGGACGTCCTCCTGACATGAAAGGCGCTGTGTACATGTAATGTGTTGTTGCTTAAATCAAAAAAAAAAGTTTTATCAGAATTATTTTTTTTAGGTCCTGGAGTCAACTATTCTGGGTGTCACATCACGTGGGCAAAATTCTGCAAAGTAAGTAAATTATCAGCTATTGGTTACCCAAATCTTAGTTGAAAAATTAAGTTACCCGTCATTGATTTAATATCAACGTGGTAAAAATCCTCCAAGACTACAAATGCTTAGTTAATGGTCAACTTGTTTTCTATTAACTGTGGCCATTTGATGTATTTATAATGCAATTGTTTTGAATAAGATGAAATGTGAGAGATTTGTCAATCTTTATTGCACCTTTTTCAATACATCTTTTCATTGAGGTAGAATAAAACTCGAGTACATGTTTCAGCTTGTAGTTGGACTGTTCTGTTCTGTATGTTGTCGTAGAGGATTAATGTTCATGTTTCTACTCGTGCTTTCTTCCTGTTTATTAGGAGAATATGCCGGGCAAAGGGTTCTCATTCTGGGTGTGGTTGGACAACATCATAGACCTGGTGAAGAAGTTCATTCTGTCACTCTGGAATGATGGGTAAGAGTTCAACTGCATCGCTGTGTGAGTGTGTGTGGGTCCACTCTCTTCAGTTCTCTCCCCCCCCCCTCCCCACCCTCACCCCAAGACCGGCTAAGGTGCCCAACCAGCAATGTAAAGCGCGCCCTGAGATATCCTCCGAACATAAATTATACGACTGTTTATAAATGTCAATTGTATTGTACCTGATTGCTTAATAAGTAGGAGATTAAAACTCTGGCCAACCTGATGTTGGATAAGGCATAACCCTGGCTTGTGTCTAAAGAACATTCGAATACTGTATTAGGTGCTGTAGTTCCAATAAGTGCTATTTTTATTAAAAGGTACATCATGGGTTTCATAAGCAAAGAGAGGGAGCGAGCCCTGCTCAGTCAGAAACCACCAGGTACCTTCCTCCTGCGATTCAGTGAAAGCAATAAAGAAGGTGGAATAACCTTCACGTGGGTGGAAAAGGACATCAATGGTATGTAATCACTTCATACTTGCTTTCTAATAATAATAATCCTTGTATTTGACACAGCGCCTTATCACGCCTTTGAGACGTCTCAAAGCGCTTCACAAAATATACTGTAGAGTGAATTGACTGCGGGCCCAACGCGGCAGCCAATTGTGCCCAGCAGCGTCCCACAAACAGTCAGATATTGAGTGGCCACATTACCATTATTATTTTTAAGTCATTATTACCCCTGGAAAGTGATCTGCCAATCGACTAACAAGTGGGTTCCTTGTTAATGCTAACAAGTGGGTTCCTACTTAATCCTAGTTAAACAGTGGGGTGTGTGGGGATAAGGAAACTTGCCTAAGGTTTTTGCCTGTTCCCCCCGGGATTCCAACCCAGATCCTCTTGCTTGTAAGGCTCTAACCACTAAGCTACAGATGTCGTGATGTGCAAAATTGTTTGGGTGAATTCCTATTTGTCAGACTTACTTTAAGCTTTTGTGGGTCACTCCCCACTTTAAATGAGATTCCCAGCAGTAAACCAGCCCAGTGACTTACTGGCTGCTATCGGGAAGTGAAAGCTCAAGTCTCTCAAGCTCAAGTTGATGCCTTCCTGCTAAATTTACAGCATGTGCAAATGTCCGGTAACAGTCTGGCTGCTGGGAGTGAGTCAGAGAGCCATATACAGTAAGCCGTGAGGAAGTGAGTCGAGACCTGTAGCTGTTTCGGACACGAGAGTAACGCTTGACAGTAAGCTAAAGGAGACTCTTCAGAATAGAACTGGATAGAATAGATAAGCCTTGCATTTGATACAGCGCCTTATCCCGTCTTCAAGATGTCTCAAAGCGCTTCACAGAATATACTGTAAAACGAATTGACTGTACATTTTGTGGGAGAAACACGACAGCCAATTGCTCACGACCAGTCGTGGATTGAGTGCCCTAACCTTACATCAGGTTACTCTAAAGGGGAGCACAGGTGATGGATGATGCTTCTGTAGATTCTTTGAATACTGGAGATTAGATTTAAGAATGAAACCTGGTTATCCCATCTTGTTCTTCATCATTCACTATTAGAATAGGAACAGGAGGAGGCCATTCAGCCCCTCAAGCCTGTTCTGCATTCTATTAGATCATGGCTGATCTGTACTTCAACTCCATTTACCCGCCCTTGCCCCATATCCCTTGATACGCTGACCTAACAAACAAATTTGGGTCCAGCCATAATCCGCAGCCTTTTGGGGGGAGAGAAGAGTTCCAGATTTCATCATCATCATTTCGCCCACAAAAATATACAGTCAATTCACTTTACAGTATATGCTGTGAAGCGCTTTGAGAAGTCTCGGAGACGTGATAAGGCGCCGTATCAGATGCAAGTATTATTATTAGCAGAGTGCCTCAGAGCGTAATGTGTGCTTAACCTGGCACGTGCAACAACAACAACAACAGCAAGATTCCATTTATAAAGCGCCTTTCACGTCAGGAGGACGTCCCAAGGCGCTGTACAGTTGGGTCATGACCCGAGCAGGGGGGAAATGGTCAGGGTGAGGGAAGGGAGGGAGCAAGGAGGGGGAAATGGTCAGGGTGAGGGGAGGGAAGGGAGGGAGCGAGGAGGGGGAAGAGAGTCGAGAGGGGAGCTGAAGGCACGGTCAAAGAGAAAGGTTTTGAGACCGGCCTTGAAGGAGGAAAGGGAGGAAGCAAGGCGAAGGCACTGGGGGATGGAGTTCCAGAGCCTGGGGGCTGAGAGGCTGAAGGCCCGACCACCGATGGTTGGGGCGGGGGACGTGGAGCAGACCGGAGCCAGAGGAACGGAGGGTACGGGCAGGTAGGTAGGGGGATAGTAGGTCAGAGAGGTAGGAGGGAGCGAGGCCGTGAATGGCCTTGTAGGTGAGGATGAGGATCTTGAAATCAATCCTCTGGGGAATGGGGAGCCAGTGGAGGCGAGCGAGGGTAGGAGTGATGTGGTCCCGAAGCTGGTGCGGGACAGTACACGAGCTGCAGAGTTCTGAATGACCTGCAGTGTGGAGGGAGGTGCCGGGAAGGCCGGCGAGGAGAGAGTTCCCATAGTCCAGCCTTGAGGTGACAAAGGCGTGGACCAGGGTTTCAGCAGCGTGATACCCTCAACTTTTGATTTGTCTCTTTCTCTGTCAACCAGGGAAAACCCAGATCCAGTCCGTGGAGCCCTACACCAAACAGCAACTGACCAACATGTCCTTTGCTGACATCATCATCAGCTACAAGATCATGGACGCCACCAACATCCTGGTCTCTCCACTCGTCTACCTCTTTCCCGACATTCCCAAGGAAGAGGCCTTCGGAAAGTATTGCTGCAGTGAGCCCCAGGAGCCGATCGATCCCAACGACCCAGGTGAGCATTTTCCACCTCTCCCGCAATCATGTTAGGAACAGGAAAAGGCCATTCAGCCCCTCGAGACTGTTCCGCCATTCTATTAGATAGTGGCTGATCTGTACCTCAACTCCAGTTACCCATATCCCTTCATCCCCTCACCTAAAAAATGCAGCACAACAGTGTCCTGCCAACAATGTAGAAAAATTATAGAAATAATTGAAATATACATCATAAGCAATGTAATGAAATAATAATAATTTGGTCGCTTAATCCACGCTGTTTGTGGGGACGCTGCTATGTGCAATTGGCCCGCGTTTCATCCGCAAAATATAAAGTCATTTTGCTTCACGGTATATTCTGTGAAGCGCTTGGAGACGTCTCGAAGACTTGATAAGGCGCTGTATGAAATGTAAGGATTATTATTATTAGATTTCCTGCCATATCAGTAGAGCACTTTAAAGGAAGATAGATGGTGTTTACACAGTATGTCTGGACCACATGGTGAGTTCCCGATACTGTGGCTGTGTCATTTATAGTGAAGCGCAAAACACAGTCCACATGTTTATTGTATGAAATAACAGCAGAAGTGACTGGGAAAACTCCGCAGGTCAGGCAGCATTTATGGCGAGAGGAAAATGAGTTAAAGGTTGCTTATTGTACGTTGGTTATTGTGTGATATGTGCCGGACTGTGGAATGTGCTTTCCGATTTGCATCGATTTGATTTTTTATTTCGTCTCTCATACCTATTTTTTTATTTTTTACAGACACCTTCGCTTACCTGAAGAGAAAGTTCATTTGTGTAACGCCGTGAGTATAAAGATTTTTTTACTATAACGACAATAATAATACTTGCATTTGACATAGTGCCTTATCACATCTTCGAGACATGGTAAGACGCTATATCAAACGCAAGGATTATTATTATTGCTGTTGTTGTTATTGCACAAAACCGTAATGTGACGTGGTATCGAACGAGGGGATTGTTGTAAAATTGAAAGCAGTGACTTTATTCGCGGCGTTGTGACGTGAGACCGTCTTCGAGACCCTTTTTTTGAAATTCAGCTCCATTGTTTCACCAGAACAAACTCGGGCAACACGAGCGACCTGTTCCCAATGTCTCCACGAACACTGGACTCACTGATGCACTGCGGTACCAACACGGAGAGCAGCGAGCAGGGGGCAGCAGGGGGACTCGGTAAGTGGTGACTGCGCCTCCAACAACTCCTACCACTTGCACTTGCAGGGCTCTCCCTCACGCAGGGCAGCGTCCCGGGGGGTTGACAGTGGCGAGCACCGCGCCGAACCGGGGTGGGGGGGTGGCGCGGGAGGAGGCGACAACTTTGCGGCATCTCCAAGCGCTTCGCAGAATATATTCTGTGAAGTGTAGCGACTGTATATTTTTGTGGGCGGAACGCGGCGGCCAATTGCGCACAGGGGTGCGCGTGGCGTAAGGAAACTTGCCCCAACACGTTGCCCTGCCCGGGAATCGAACCCGGGTCCTCTCGCTTGTGAGGCGGGCGCTCTAACCAATGAGCTGCGGGACTCTACAACTTATGAACCAGAAGTTGCAGAGTTCTGAAAGCCCTTGTGGGTTCTCTCCCCCTCTGCCTTTACAGATTCCATCACTTTGGACATGGAGTTTGGGACGGAATGTGCACCCTCTCCCATGTAAACCTCTCCAGATCTTCGACCGTTTTACATCTTCAGCATCATTAACCACTGGTTTTGTTGGCTTACCGAATAAGCCCTTTATATCTTATCATCTATTTTGTCGACGAGTAGTTTAATCACATTACTACCCATTTGCAATCTAATGCTTTTTACTGTAATGTTAATTTCCGGTTGCATATTTTTTCCAGATCGAACCCAATCTTAAAAAAAANGCGCAAAAAAAAAAGAGAAAATCTGTATTACGAAAGCTTTGTTTTATCCAAATTCGGGGCATCGACCTAAAGTTGTTCAGCTTCTCACGACAGCAAGTGGGTGAAGCGAATGAAATGTTCTCTTGCGGAGTGCGTCTCGAAGAACCTTGGTGCACTTACTGGACATGCTGCACATGTACACATGTCCTCTTTTTTAAATGCGGAACAAACCCCTCATTTATATAATATATATATATATATATATAATATATGTAGTCAAACTTATGCAACAGGCTCCCTAGGGAGACAGTGGAAGTAGAAAGGGTTGTTTGTTTCAAGAACAAATTAGATAGATTTCTGCTAGAAAATAATATCTGGGGCTACAGTGTATAGTTTGGGACACGGCGTGGCGTGACCAGGGATGGTGGAAGGTGAACTGGGCGGTCTTCTTTTGCCAGCAAATTCTTACGTTCTGATATATCTGGTAAACGCGGCTGCGTTATCACTCACTCCGCGTTGTGTGGTTTAAGTCATTCGTGGCGTTTAAAGATCCGTTCGTCAGGAGTGAGGGCCTCTTATTCCACTTGCGGTGGGAGATGCTGCACGATGAGAGGGACTTGGAATTGCTCTTCTCCCCCCGTCAGCCACACGACGCCTTCGCGTTCAGCCGATGTGCAGGAAGAGAACCACAGAGTAGGGCGCGCAGGGAGTAGTGATGCACGTTGCTACGTCCTAACGGCGCTGAAGAGGCCACTGCACAGTTTGGCTGAACATGTCTGGGCGACTGGCCTTTCTCTCTCTCGCTCCCTCTCCCCCTCTGGGCATTCATCTGATCTTCCCCGGCTTCTTGGCTCCTCGCCAGCGATGGGAACGGGAACCGGTGGGAGGGACAGGCCGAACAAAGCGTTTGGGGGGGGGGGGGGGGGCGTGAAGCGAACGATGCTATTTTGAAAAGAAAATTGTTTCTCTTGTTAACTCGGCGGTGATTATTGTACGGGGCAAACCTGCATCTTTGCGGTCGGGGCCAGGGGCGGCGAAGTGGGGGCGGGGAAGGAGAGGGGTAAAACTCTCGATCAGAAGAGAAGCAGCAGCCGTACTCCCAATACTAGGGATGCAAGTCACAGTCGGAGGCTTGTTTGGGAATAGCGCCTAAATCGGAATGCCACGCAGGAGCCCGTCTGGAGAATTTCCGGGTTATTGGAGAGGCCTTGGCTGAAGGAGACGTGGTTTCCGCGTCCGTTCTGCTTTTAAGTTTCCTTAAACTCGAATGTATTTCTTGATTTTTTTTCTTTTCATTTTTAAAAATATATATATATATATTTTATGGGAAATTTGATAAGATGAAAGCACACGCCCGGTCGTGCGGAGTAAAGGGGGACTTGGAATAAGACGGTGTTACGCTCACTCCCGTCGCTGGTCCGTGTGCGGTCGGAGGGACAGTTGGTTGTATTGTGGGAGGGGAGAAATGGCTGGAAAATCCCGGGTTATAAGTGGCCCTAATCTGCATTTCAACAACTTGCATTTACACAGAGCCTCCTTCACGCAGGGTAGCCCAGAGCGTGGTGGGGGGGGAGCCACGGTCGAAGAGGAAGGTCTTCAGGTGCGATCTGAGGATGGGGACGGAGGGGGCAAGGCGGAGGGTTAGGCGGAGTGTGTTCCGGAGTGTCTCAGAGAGTTAAGTCTCAAAAGTGCCGTGAGGTGAATTGGAGGGTCCCTGGTTGGCAACTCGGATCTATTCATGTTGACGCCATTGCCTGAAGCTACTCGTAGGAACGGCGATAGGAAAGTGATGGAACGATGCATTTTTATTCATATGAAATCGTGCGAGGGTATGAGCGAGGGCGCGCGTGTGCGAGGGCGCGCGTGTGCGAGGGCGCGCGTGAGCGAGGGCGCGCGCCTTTGTACGTGAGCGAGAGTGGCATTATACAATACCAAATACATTTACAATAGTTCCTTTCGCGTGGGGAAGACCTCTGCAGGTGCACTGTAGCATTTATTAACGATCGATTGATCGCAAGACAGCGATGTCAGTTTTTCCCCTCTTCTGTCCCTCCCACACACACACACACACGCGGACGTAACACACGTGTCTCTAACACAGTCTTCAGAAAATTACTGCCAATGACTTTTTTTCCCCCCCTTTTCTGTATTGCGGGCAGAGGGATTGCTTTTGGAATAAGGGTTTGGGATTTGTCAACGCGGGTGGGGGGGGTGTGGGTGTGGGAGGAAAAGTGAAGTTGCAAAGATACAGTGTCTTTAATTTTTAGGAAGAAAATTTTTTAGAAAAATTAATAACTACCTCTTGCCGCTTTTCCACGCTCCTCCCGCTGCAGCGTAGCACGGATTCGGTTCCTTTGTGCCGTTCGCCCCCGGTCCGGAGCGTTTTGCTTTCGGGAAGAGCACTTCTCCTGGACGCGACGGCTCGCGCTTACGGGGCGCCCCCCCCCCTCCGCGCAGGGCAGCGATCCAGAAGCCCTCGGGACGTAAGACGTCTGAAACGATAGCAGCGGTAAGGAGCTTTTACAGCGAGTGAGTGAGCTGTAAAGTCGGGAGGGTGTCGTCGTTCCAGTCGGAGACGGCTTAAGGCTGCATCGTTCTATTTCGGAGCCTCTCGCGCTGTGGCCTTGTGCGTTCGGATTCATTTTTTCTTAGTTAACCGTACGGTTGCGGATGTATTAAACCTGATGCGTGTACGAAAGCGGTGCGTGTGCGCGTGTGTATAAATGGAACGAGTGGCCGTTTGTTTTCGCTGTAAATTTTATTGCTGTAACTCTTCCCTTTGAATGATAAAGGCAAAGCTTTGTGTCGAGCGACGCTTTGCGTCTTGTGTGTCGTTGGCGTCTCACCCGGATACGAGCACAAAGTCGACTCGCGGCACTTAAATGAGCATTTAGATGATGATGATGATAATAATAAAAGCAGCACCGAGAGTCGTGCCGCCTTACTCCGATGGCATAGTGGTTGGCGCGATCGGAAGCGAGATGACCTGGGTTTGATTCCCGGGCAGAGCAAGTTTCCTCACTCCTCGCGGCAAATAGGAACCCGGTCGTTCGTCGATCAGCGGATCGCTTTTCCCATCAAAAAATAATTCGGTCACTCAATCCACGACTATTTTGGGGGGTCGGTCGGGGGGGGGAACGACACTTCTGCGCGCAATCGGCTGCCTGCGTTCCGCCCGCAACATACACGCCTTTAGGTATATTTTTCTGTGGAGCGCTGTTTGAGACGTCGTCTCGAAGACGGCTGTGAGGCGCCGCGTCAGAGTCCAAGGATCATTATTAACGTCGTCGTCGTCGTGAGAGAGTAACGCAGCAGCTCGCGATCCGCCGGGCGACCGGGAAACAATCCCACACGAGGAGAAAAATGTCGCCGATCGAAGACTTCCCAGAAGTGACGGGATTCCCTAATTCTTCCCCCCCCAACCGGCTCAAGCGGCCAAAGAAAGTGCCGAGAGCCAAATTGGACGGTAAACTGTGAAGGTGAGGCTCCCTACTGGTCACCAGTTGCAGCCGCAGCTTAATTAAATCCCAGCGATGTTGTTGCGGACACCGGCGCGTGGTTTTCTCTCTCTCTCTCTCTCTCTCTCCTCCCTTTCTCAGGGACCGGGATGGGAATCTCGGGAGCGCTGGTTAGACACGGGGTCGAACTGGCCTCGCGGGTGTCCGCAGGACGGGAACCGTCCGTTTTGTGGCTGTTTACCGGACAGCGCTGTCGGGTGTCGGCTCGCGAACAGTCACTACACCGCGCGGTCGTTCCTGCGAAGGCCCTTTAAGGCGTCTCGACGGTGTGGTGAGGCGCTGCATCCAAAATCGAGGACTATCGATTATTTCGACCCTTCCCTTCTCGAAGCCGTATTTTATACGCGGCTTTATATCGCCCACAGAACACACAGTCGCTCCACTTTATTGTGTGAAGCGCTTTGAGACGTCCCGACGACCCGATATGGCACCGCATCAAATGCAAGGATTATTATTATTATTATTATTATTATTATTTGTGCTGAGTTGCTGATTTCCTCGCCGGCTCCAAGCAGAACAAGGACTTGTATCCTCTTCTGTGTCACCACCAACTGTTTTAAGAGACTAACCAAGTTCCACATTCTCTGAGGACTATCTCTCAGAGAAAGAGAGAGAGAGAGAGGCATTTCCCCCCTTTTTTTCCACCCAATATAAGGGTGGAATTGTCTTCGGAAACGCGGGCAAAAATCTCGCCAAACATGGAGCTTGTGAGGGCGCGTCGCTAAGATACTGGCAACAAACTTGTATTCAACTATGCAAAGGATTCAAGCCTTCAAGCCCTGTGGTTTCTCGTGTGTGTGTGTGTGTGTGAGAGAGTGTTGTGAGCGCTGCCTTTTTGCCTTAAAAGGCAACGTATTCATTAATTCAACTGCCAGTCAAGATAAACACACGTTTCTTTCCAGCCAGACTTTCTGACTCACAGGACTGTGTGTGTCTGTGTGTGTGTGTGTGTGTGCGCTTTTTCTTTGGAACATGGTTCTTAAAAAACATCCAGCGATGAGCGAGCGCTATTTAACCGATTCTCGCCTGTTTCCAAGTATTTACCCAATGTCTTGCGCGATTCTTTCGCTTCTGCGTGAATAATAAAGGGTAGATAAAGTCCGCTTCACCAGAAAATCAGAATAACCACACGCTGAAGTGGTGGGAAGATGTAAATCTGAACCACAAGTGGTATTTGGAAAGCACAGAGTCCAGAGAATGTGAGGGTAGCTTCTTCTCACGATGAGTGTTTTTTTTTTCCTGGAAGCCACTGTTTCTGGGCTGTTTGTATGATTTCCCTCACGCGCCGACAATGGATCAGTGAGGTTTTTGACAGTGGCGCTGGTCGCTAAGGCATTTAATCGGGTTGAACCTTGTGCTCTGCCTGAGTTGAGGTCGGGTTGACTGTCCATCACGGTACGACAACGGCAAACATCTCGCTGTGTTGGCCTTGATGGATGATGTCCATCCAGGTGGTCAAGTTGATGAACCCACACCAGTTTATGATCCATCAAACTACAATCATCTGGTCAATCCAAACCGCTGAGTGGGTAGGGTTTCCAGCTGGGACCACCCTCTCTTGTTGGAACTCATTGAGTTCCTCACTTGCTAAATGGCACACACACAAAAAAAAACACATTCAAAACATCAGCTGCCGTCGTACACACCTTTATATTGGGAAAAAAATGTGGTCACTTCAATCCACGACTGTTTGTGGGGAACCCCGCTGTGCGCAACTGGCTGCCGGGTTTCACCCACAAAACACACAGTCGTTCCGCTTTACGGTATATTCTGTGAAGAGCTTTGAGACGTCTCGACGACGTGATAAGGCGCTGTAACAAATTCAAGGCTTGTTATTATGATTATTCTTTATTTTTTTAGTGTTCTTCAATTCCGCCTCTTAAAATCCCAGAGTAAAAGTGGTGCCGGCGATTCACTCTACCACTGGATCTCGCTATCGTTTTTCAAAAAAAAATAAAACTTACGCGTCAGATTGACGCCTCGAGGAGCTGTACGGATGTGAAGGGGCTTCACCGAACAGGGAAAAGAGGATTTAAGGGTATTGTCCAAAAGCACAGCGAGGGTGGGGAGAGGGAACGAGAGAGAGAGAGAGAGACCAGAGAGTGAGAGCGAGCGCAAAACTCAGAGGTATAGGAGGAGAGTTTGGACAAGGGTGGACCTGGAGATGTAAGAAGCGACAGAAAGAGTGGTGACGGTCGGGAGGGAGTGGGGTGGGGGGGGGGGGGGGGACAGGTCGAGCTTGTACAGAGAGCTGAGAGTGTGATGGTTTGTTTTAACGTTGCCCCGAGAGAGAGAGAGAGAGAGGGGGGCGCCCGGTAATGAACAAATTCCCAATCTTGGTCCCTCACACTTCCTCTTTCTGACCTCGAGGGTGGCATGGAGCCCAGTTCAAGGTTCCTGTTATTTTCCTGACATTGTCCGAGAAAAATGAAACATCCCCCCCCCCCTGCCCGCCCGTCCGCCCGCCTAACCCAAACCCCCACAACCCCATCAACCTTGGAAACGTTCCTCAGCGCGTAACCAGCTTTTAGATCATCCATTTTATTCTCGTTTTAATTTCTTTGGAACTCATAGGGTTCTCCTTTTGATGTCTGGCCAAGGTTGTGCTTTTTTCCACTCGGGGGGGGGGGGTTGGGTGTCAGCCTCTCGCTGCTGAATAACTATTGTGCGCTTTAATGGAGCTGTTTCCAGCCCTGTATCCTTTGCTTGTTTTTTCACTCGCTCCGGTTTCCTGCAGCTCCAGGTTGGCGCCGTCCCTCCGCACGCTCACATTTTCCAATAAATGTGAAAGGGAGAGAAGTTGTCATAGATTCTGGGTGAGATGGTCGCGTTGAGCTCCCACCCGAAGAACAGGCCGACACAGCCATCTAATGGTCATATCAAAAATTCACGCGCTTGTTATTTTTCTGGTAACAGGAACAGGAGGAGGCCATTCAGCCCCTCGAGCCTGTTCCGCCATTCTTTTCGGATCATGGCTGATCTGAACCTCATCTCCAAT